TAAATAAATAAATAAAATCTTAAAAAAAAAAATTCTTTCTCCCTCTGCCCCTCCCCCTACCTTATGCGTGCACACACACACTCTCAAAAAAAAAAAAAAAAAAATCCTAGCAATACTACTTACCAGCTATGCTACTTTTGAAACAACTTACTTGACCTCTCAATACATCCCTTCCTTATCTGTGAGATGGAGATAAGTTCCTAACCTTTTAAGGTTATTAGGAGGCTTGGATGCATAAACACCCGGAAGGTGCTTTGAACTGTACCTGGCATGTAGTCAACATTCTGTGTTAGCTGTTTTTATGCCAGAACCTATCTTTCAGCAGCATCTTCTGCTGTTCTCCTTCATGAACTCTCCATTCTAGTTCCACAGACCACATTCAATTATGCACACAACAAAATATTTCACAAGAACCTGTAGAATGTGCAGCACTGGTATGGGACTGTGGATAAAATGACAAACGTTGAAAATACACAGTCCCAGGCTCATGAACCTTACAGTGTAGCAGAGGGACATGAATTGAATAGATATTGTATGACCTTATCAGAGCATGATGGGGGAAGGCAACCCAAGAAGGTCAGAGATGCCTTCCCTGAGCAGGTGAGGTTTGAGCTGAGACCTGAGGGATGACTGGAGTTAGCCAGTGAAGGAGAAAGGCAAGAGCGTGTTGTGCCCCAAACTTATCCTGTGCTTTCCCATCTCCATGCCTTTGATCACTCTACTCCTTTCCCACTAAAATATCTTTTTTATTGAAATGCTACATGCACCTTTCCAGCCCAGCTAAAATGTCTGCACCTCCACTAAACCTCCCCTGGGCTCTCCAGCTGAAAGCACTTTCTCCTCCACTCTCCTACAGCACTTAATTTTCATTTTTCCTTCGACACTTCTCACTTTCTACTGTATTTTCTGGTGATTTATACACACAGCTTATCTTCTCTACTAAATCTTATTAAAAACAGAGTCTGTTTCTCATTCATCTTTGAGCTTCCAAAGGCTAGTACATTCCTTAGGCTCAGAAGTCCCGGAATAAATACTTGTAGCATAAATTAATGCCTGTTTGACATCCCTTTTCAAATATGTTGTAATTCAAATGAAGCTATTGTTGCAAGCTGTGCCTTTGGGACTGAACTTACTCTTTGGTTAAACCAGAATGCCATAGTCATGGTCCCCATGACTGATTAGCGTTCACCACAGTGACCATAAAAACCCGAACAAACAGGCCACTGTTCTTGACTGACAGTTGTTTGGCAACAACTGCCTGTCTTCCAGTGGAGGCTGAACTGAGGAAGGACTGTCTGAACTGAGTCCCCAGTCAGTGGGGCTCTGTTTATCCCTTGCAGTTTGGCTGCAAGAGCCAGCGGCCCAAGCTTTGCCCTGATGTAAGGCTATATGGTGCTTTTCAGGGTAACAGAAACACTAATGCTTGGAACAAAACCATCAGAGATTAGTATCAGTGGAAAGGATCCCAATTTGAAGCAGTGTGAAAACAAGGGGAAGGGAGCTCTGAAGTCAGATAGACCTGGGTTTGGATCCTAACTAGCTATGTGATGTCACCCATGTGCCTTCTTTTGAGTCTCAGGTTTCTCATTCTAAAAATATTCTGCAAAACAGTTATGAAGATCAAAGATAATGTCATTATATACATAATGCCTGTGCTCTATTAAATGTGTTCATTCATCTATCTTCTTCAATACAGTTTGTTCTCTGAGGGCAGGAACTCATTTTTGCCTCTATTCTTGCAGAATCTAGCAAAGTGCTCAGCACATAGTAGACACTGGTTAATATTTTTAATATTTTTATTTAAAAAAATTTTTTTTGGAAAGATTTTATTCATTTGAGACACAGATAGAGAGAGCATGAGCAGGGGGAGAGGCAGAGGGAGAGGGAGAAGCAGGCTCCCTTCCAGCCAGGAGCCAGATATGGGGCTCGATCCCAGGACCCTGGGATCATGACCTGAGCCAAAGGCAGACGCTTAACCATCTGAGCCACCCAGGTGCCCCAGTTAATATTTTTTAAACAAATGAACAACAACAACAGTAATAACTAGCCTTTATGGAGCACTTACTTCATGCCAGGTATTGTAAACAGTAATTCATCTAATCCTTCAACAACCCTAGAAAGAAGCAACCAATACAACCCAATTTTACAGAAAGAAAACTTGAATTTAATTTTTTAAATATAAAATTCTTGATATAACAAATTTTGAAACAAAAATCTGGTGAGATTAGTTTTATTCAATAAAAAGATAAAATACTTTATAAAACCTGGAAAAGAAAAAATGTGGTAGAGAGAGAAAGAAAGAAGGGCATAAATATCAGAGTGGGAAGAAGGAGTAGGAAGAAAAAGAAAGACACATAGAAAAAGAAGAAACAGAAATGGGCAAATTCTGAGCAGAGAATAAAATAACTAGTTATTCAGAGTAAGATATTGTGGTCTATCACTGTCCTTTGAAATAGTAACTAGACAACTAATTAATCACTCTTCTCAGCTCTTCAACTGTCATGACTTTGTCCTTAAACTTTATTCTTTTTTTTTTTTAAGATTTTATTTATTTATTTGAGAGAGAGAGAATGAGAGATAAAGAGCACGAGAGGGAAGAGGGTCAGAGGGAGAAGCAGAGTCCCCGCCGAGCAGGAAGCCCGATGTGGGACTCGATCCCGGGACTCCAGGATCATGACCCGAGCCAAAGGCAGTCGCCCAACCAACTGAGCCACCCAGGCGCCCCCTTAAACTTTATTCTTAAATTCTGAGATCAATGGGGAAAAAGACTTATATTTCAGAGAGCAACAAAAATTGTAATGGTTTTGGGGCACCTGGGTGGCTCAGTCGGTTAAGTGGCCAACTCTTGATTTCAGCTCAGGTCATGGTCTCAGGGTGGTGAGACTGAGCCCTGGATCAGGCTCCGAATTCAGCGGGGAGTCAGTGACCGCTTGAGAGTCTCTCCCTCTCCTTCTACCCCTCCCCCTGCTTGTGTGCTCTCTCCCTCTCTAAAATGAATAAATAAATCTTTTTTAAAAAAAAATTGGAGTCGTTTCCTTCTAGTACAAAATGAGGAGATAGAGTTATCACCAAGACAGTAAATGGCATGAGCAAAAACTGTGAATGCAAACAGCACTATTTGAAGAATACAGAAGTCTTTTCACAGCTGAAGCCTAAAGTCTACCTGGGAGAACAGTGGAAAGTGCTGCAGGAAGGCCATAAATAGCAAGGTAAGGAGTTAAATAATATTTAGCAGCCGGTGGTTGCTGTTACAGGAAACAACAGTTGTGATTTGGAGCAAAATTTTTAGTCCTCAGTTCAGAAGACCAGAATTATTGCTACAGTGTGACACTGGGTAGTTTTACCCTAAACCTCAGTTTATCTCCAAAATAGGATAATAAGGTACTTGTGAGGATTAAATAGGATAATACAACAAGGTGTGTTGGCTTTGGAAATGTCAAAATGTTCTACGAATGTAAGTTTTCACTACTGGAGGATAAAATTGATGCTTAAAGACTGACATAGTAAAATCACTAACATGATGGCTGCAGGATTGAAAAGGGAACAATCTGAATGACATCTTGAAAAAAGCTAACTGACTCAAAGATAGCTTACAAATTTAAACTTTAGTGATTGGGGGAAAGGAATATTAATCCTAGGAACTGGGAAATCGGAGGGGAATTGCATTTGGCTTTAAACATTTCAGATATCAGAAGAACATCTCTTAGAAATGTAAGATTGGAGCTTGGATAGGCCATCAACTTAAGAACTCTGCAAAGAGGTAGTAGTTGAAACCATGAAGAGAATAGGTCGCCTACTGAGAGTTAATAATGAGAAAAAGAGGGTGTAGGTTTCTTAGGAACCTGAGTAAAGACAACAATTACGTGCAGGTCAGTGAGGCTAGCACAGTTCAATAGTATCCAAAAAAGAGGAGAAATTTTTTAGTTGAAGAGGAGCTACATGATCAACCCAAATTAGTGAACATGAATTTATTTAGGACTTGGTTTGGGCTCTATGGGGCAGGGAATTAACGATTGCTCGTGATATTATTAGTGCTGATGCTGAGTTAGATAACAATTGATGAAAGGTTCAAAGGCCAAGACAACTAAGAATTTTTATGTTGTTTTTGAGTGGTTGTGAGCAGTTCATTTGGGCAAGGGGATTTGTATGTGTATGTGCATAAATATATCTGGCCTTGTCTTAGGTTTTGTCCCCTATGTCTCCCCGTCCCAAACCCGCATTTATTTATATTTTTGCAAGGAGTCTGTCTTGCATCAGACTTCTTTTGGTTTGTCTCCACTCCAGCTCTTAGAAGGAGACATTTAGGAGCTTTTTTTTCTTAAGATTTTTTTTTTATTTATTTATTCACGAGCGACAGAGAGAGAGAGAGAGGCAGAGGGAGAAGCAGGCTCCCAAGGAGCAGGGAGCCCGATGCGGGACTTGATCCCAGGACTCCAGGATCATGACCTGAGCCGAAGGCAGACGCTTAACCATCTGAGCCGCCCAGGAACTTTTTTTTCTGTAACGAAGCAGGCCGCAGTCAGCAGATGGCTCTGCAGCAAGAGCGGCACTGAGTTCCTTTAGGACCTTGTCAAATCACTGGTAACCTTACTTACAATTTCAGCCTCGGAGGATTGAGTTGAACTCTCGCCGAATTTTATTTTTTATTGCGGGTGGGGAGAGAGCGCGCGCGCGCGCGAGCAAGCATGAGCAGGGGGAGGGACAGAGGGAGAGGAAGACAAGGTTACCATGGCCACTTAGGAAGCTTTACGGATGGCGCTCTTCTTACGCGTGCGTAAGCAGCAAGCACCACCCACACAAGTTCCCTAGCTCCGCAATCTGCTAGCCACTCCTGATTGCATTCGGCGCTCGCCTCTCTCCTTGCGCCTGCGTACTACCCCTCCTACCCGTTGTTGCGGCCCCGATCGGGAAGTGTCAACACGGAGCTGGGTTCCCCAGTCTTCGCCTCTGTCACTCACAGCTGATCCCGGAACCCCTAGCCAGGCCCGGGCCCAACCGCCATGACGAACGGTGAGAGCCAATGTCCAGAGTGGAGAGTGGGAGTAAAGGACGAGGGGAAACGTGGCGGGCGGGACCGGGACTGACGTGGCCATTCTCCCCGCCCCCTCCCAGCCCAGCCCCACCATGGCCTCTCAGTGCCCGTGACTCTTGTCCCCAGACCCTTCCGCGGTTCCCCCGTCCCGTGACCATCTAGAAATACCAGTGCCTCTCGTCTCCACACCCCGAGTCCTCAGTCCCTAGCCTGTGCTTTCTCTTCCCCCTTCCTAGAAGTTCGTTCTAGCCCTTGCAAGACTCCTAGGCAGGCCAGTCCCAGTTGGACTATTGCTTTAGGACCAGGGGAAAGAGAGGATCCTCCTCTCAGCCCCCTGCGTTCTCATACTTTCGGACTGTAGCCTCATTGGGAGGACCAAGAAATCACAGAGAGGGTCAAGCCTCACACTTCCTGGAGGCGATTGTAGACCCTTAAACAAAGTTCTCCTTGTTTTTGAAAAAAATGCTGGTAAGCTTTCTCTTGTTTGATTATACAGTCCTGCCTGAGTGATCCCATCTGGAGACCCTGGCTAGTGTTGCAAGGGTTGGATTTAGACACTGCCTCTTCTAAACGATGTGGCAGTTGCATCCCTGTTTATCCGACCTAATTTTCCAGACGTCTTCGGACACTTTATAGACATGATTTCCTAATTCTAGGGAAGTGCAGGAAGCAGGACTTTTATGGTCTTTAGAGTCAGCTTTATAGGAAAGAAGAGAAGGCCTCCTAGTATGATTTGAGGGGCACAGGAAAGCATTTCTCAAGAGTACCTTCTCCATAAGCCTCGCAGTGGAGACTCAGATTTCACCTCTTTGTGAATTTTGGCATTGTCTGCAAGAACTTATGAAAGTAAAAGAATAATACATTAAATAATACATTAAAGCATCATTCATCATAAGAATTTAGTGTATGTGTTAATTTACTGGGCCCTTTCTCATATGACACCTGGCTGTGAGATAAAAAAACTATCTGGAGAGAGGGAGATAGAGTGGTCCAGAACTGGCAGATACTGATTATGTAAAATATCCTTTTGGAGCTTCCTGGGCAAGTCACAGGTCTGAGGCACAGTACCAGAAGGGACATTTCTGGGAGGAAGAAATCATCTGAACCAGGAAATAAGAGAGCAATCTGATACATAATAATCACTGAGTAAATTTTAGTTATCTTCCCTCCTTTTATGGTCTGAAATTTTTTTTTTTTTTTGCAGTTAGGTGCTTCATTGTGCTTACGTGTACAAGAAATAGCTTGTTTTACATATGTAAGAAATAGAACTAATTGTGCAAAGCTTTTTACCACAATTGTTCTATGTCGACACCTCAGATACTTTTTTTTTTACAAGAATCTGTAGTTATTCCAGCAGAAATTTGGTTTGTAAGTAGAGTATCATGCATGAGGTATAAGATAAGCATAGGAAAACTGTAGTTTATGAATGCTAATCCTTGCTATTTCCATTAAGCTTTACTTTCGCCTTAACGTATTCTTCAACAAATGCAGATCTGAGAGACTTGGCTAACCATCTGGCTCTCCTTTAGCACATGAGTGATTGATAATAGGAACATGGGTACTTTCCTCAGCTCAGGCTCCAAGGATTCTTACAATTCTCTCAAACTGTTACCAACACTGGCCACTGGCCATTCCTGGGAGATTGATTCCACTAAAGTGATGCACTCTTCTCAGGACTTGTAGCTCTTGAAAGGGGAGGAGAGGGTGCAGTGAAATCTTTGTGAGGGGATTGTCTACAAGCAGTTTGGGGAACAATGAAGTAACCTTGTTAGTCCCAGGATTTTGGCTCCCTCTTGTCAAGGGTTGGCATTGCTGGTTGATTTTATCACCTGGATATTATATTACTCTGTTCTCTTTGGAGTTCTCAAATGGGATCACAAGCTAGATTAGTACCAAAGGTGTGTGTGTGTTTGTTTTTCTTTCTGTAACAGTGTACTCCTTGGATGGGATTCTGGTGTTTGGTTTGCTCTTTGTTTGCACCTGTGCTTACTTCAAGAAAGTACCTCGTCTCAAAACCTGGCTGCTCTCAGAGAAGAAGGGAGTTTGGGGTGTGTTTTACAAAGGTATGATGATCTCTGGACAGGGAGAGGAGATGGCCATCTCTGGACGGTGGGGTGCTACAAAGTGTAGCGGGTGGGACAGGCTGGCATTGTATTTGGTTCCACTTTTACATAATCATTTATTTTAGCATCAAGGTAATTTTAATATCCTCCATGTAGTAAAAGTATCTAAATTAAAGCCATTTAGACTGGACTAAAACTGTTGGAATAGTTTCTCAATGAAAAGTTTTTCTGAATTTCTGGAAAGAATATATTGGAGTCTCTTTTTAAGTTTCAACTCAGATGCTTTTTTTTACTTTTTATTAAGGGTAAATCCTACCTACCTAAATCTTTTTTTTCAAAATAGAGCAAAATACAAACAGTATATTCACCTAGAACCTAGAGCTTAAGGATAGTACTTAAATGTCTCCCCGGGTGGGTTCTTGAGAACCTTGATAGGTCTCTTTGTCATGACTAGAGATTTCAAAATACTACCTTGAAAGTGAGGACTTATATGAAGGGCAGGGTGTGATTTCTTCTCTCTTTTTACTTTTGTCTGCCAGCCGCTGTGATCGGAACCAGGCTGCATGCTGCTGTGGCAATCGCCTGTGTTGTAATGGCCTTTTACGTCCTGTTTGTAAAATGAATTCCAAAACATCCATCTCATCAGCTGCCAACCAAGAGGATGAGGGTGAAGAAACTGTCCGGGGCCTGGGCCCAGCGTAAGAGAGCTCAGCTAAAATCATCAAAGTCCCCAAGATGACACCACAGAATCTACCCCTACCATATGTGGGGAAAATTCCTCATGGTTACAAACATTATTTATGCTTTAGGGGACTCCAGAAGGCCAACTTCCTTTGCTCTGTGTGTGAATCAGTCCTCAGCAGAGAGCATATAATGTCCAGATAAATTAATATCCCACGGTGATAAGATTACATACCTCCTACATAAAAACCTGTCACCTATTCTGTTCTTCAGCCCATCATCAGGATCTTTTCAAACTGAGGCTCATTAGGGAAGGACATAGGCTGTATTCACACCTCTTGGAAGGAGAATTTTCAAGACTTGACTTTTTTTTTTCACTGTTTGATTTGGATTTGGCAAATTGGTGGGGGCAGGGTGAGTGGGTGGGGTGGAGAGGGGAGGAACAGGAGTTATACAACGCCAAGGAAATTTTTTGGCCTTGGAAATTTCTCTTTCATATACCCATCTGGGAACATAAGAGAGAGGCATGGTCCTAACTGCAAACAGAGAACAGATGAAATAGCTGTGCTGTGTGCTGGTAGCTCAAGAGTTTGCCAAGAAAACCTGGGCCTACATAAGATTTGGGAATTAACTGTCCATGATGAGATCAGAAGCAGTAACTTAGGTAAGGAAAAATGTTCTGTTCACCAGTATCCCCCAAAGGAGACTTCATCCCATCAGATGGTATATGGAAAATGAATCCATTGTTGCAATTTTCCTAAAGCCTTTTTATATACATTACTGAGTGCTAAATAGTGTTACTCAGTCTTAAGGGGAAAGAGAAAGTACTGAAGAAATAATTTTTAATATATTTGCAGTTAGGGTAAAAGAAATCTAGTATATAATTCATACACTAGTGAAGTCAACTAGTATAAGAATGTATTGTGATGTTAGATGGACGTTTTGTCATGTTATCCAAGACACAACTTTATTCTGTGTTTGAGTCTGGATTTTTATGGCAGTTTTTAATTGAACACTTGTTTTTCTTGGGCAACTCTTAGTTTTCCGCATATTGCAGTACTCTAGCTATCTCTTGGAAATTTTTTGTATTATAAGAACATGATAAATTCAAATGAGTGAGAGAAGATGCTGATATTCTTGGGCATGTTTGGAAAGTTCACAGAATCGACGAATAAAATGAGGGTGTTTTCTAAAGTAAAGGAAAACAGATGTTTGCAATGGAGATTACTGGGCTTTTCTATGGATATGGTTACTCATACACAAATCATTTTAGATGACTCAATATTTGAAGGGAAGACTTCTCCATTTAAAAAAAGAGAGTGTTGGTCTAAAATTATTGTAAAAAGCAGGCATCAACATAGGAACAAATTGAATTGTCCGTTACAGTAAAACTTGACTGTGGACAAGTTAGTTGTGGTTGACCCCTGTATGGCAGGAAATTGTGTTTTGTCTTTTCCCCAAAGAAAAGCTGCTAGGAAGTTTAGGTTCCGATATAGACAGTTTAGTGCTTTGAGGGTTTCTAAAGGTGTAAAAAGTCCTCAAGTAAACACTACATGTCTAATCATCTCAGAGTTGTGGCTTTTTTGTCTCTTCAACAATTGGCCTGCAGGGTAAATTTCAATGATTCATGTTTTCCGTTGTCACTTCTGAGGATCTTCCACACGAGGGAAAGGACATCTATTGGAACAGAAAGGAAGAGTTACACCTTGTAGGTGTGTTTGGGACCTGTTGGCCAGCAGGAACGTTATTCCCTGGAAATACAGGTTCAGCATGTTTTGCACTTGTTACTTTGTAGCTTTAATGACTTGTTTTCCAGTAGGGCTAATGTCTCTGAGCTTGGTGAGGAGAGCTGCTTCACTTCACAGTTCTAGTTGTTCAAACTGATTTTTACAGCCTTCCCGGTGGGTCATCTTGACCTAAATTGTTACATTTTGAGATGTTTTCCTACGAGAATGTACCAAAAAGTACACAGAATGAAGGTAATTTACAGCAAGAAACAAATACACAGCTTATTTCTTGCCTTTATGTAAGCAGATAAGCAGAAGTTTTAACTCATTACTTTGGTTGATGTGTCATATGTTTTTCGACTGAAAATGGTAGGAAGTTGTTCCTCTGAGGGAGTTTTTTAGGTGTGGAAGAAGGGGAATAGCAGTATTGCCTCAGATTCAAACTGGCATCACCATAAACCCTGAATGCCAGGGTGGAGTGAAGTCAGCCTTTTATAGTTAAAATACAGTTTTTTATTCACCATTGTCTGCACAAATCCTTGAAAATAAAATTTCTTTCCCTACCATTTTTGTCCACTTATTTGTCACATGATCAATTCATTGAACTTTGTTCAACACTTCCCTTGGTTCTACCCAAGTATACCTTTTTAGTTTACATTAGTGAATATCATTATTCTTGTTGACCCCTTGTGATGGTCACCAAATATATGATAGTTCAGAATTTATGAAGGTGTAGTTTTCTCCTTTGAGGGAGCTGATACATGTATCAGCTTATATATATAAGCATATATATACCAATTAAGTTTTGAGGTATGTTAAGTAAGGCAGATAACACTCAATACATTTTATCTACCACTGCTATTAAAATACAAATATTATCTGCCATTACCAGCCATAAACTTCTTCATTCAAATGAGGTTATCAGGTTAACCAGCCATGCACCTAGAAAATCCTTCAGCCAATGGGATTCTGGCACATATATGGATAGTTTCCCCCTATTTGTTTATTTCAAGTGTATGGTGGAACTGGCAGTTACAAATTATAAATTCACAAAATTCTTCTGATTTACCCACACATACACCTTTTTCATTGAAGAAGGAGAAGAAACTGAGACATTAAAATTGTGTCCCCTCATGTGAAAGGAGCTAATTCTCATTATATAATCACTACTTTTTTTTCACTATTCGTTTGGGAGTTTGAAAGTTGAAAGTAAGTGAAGGTTCAGCAATATGATTGCCATAGCATCAAGTTCTGGGTAGCCAGGGGGCTCTTGTAAATGAGCAGGATATGCCTTCCTACTTCTGTTCATTTCACAGTTATCCTGACTACCAAGACATTGGATTTAAATAATCTATTCTCACCTTTCCCTTTGGTAAAATGATGTTTTCCGTCTCCCCTGGGGGAAGGAGCTCTTGGGGAAGCCGATATTGGTTAATGACCAGGATTTGCCTTCTCCATGGGAAAGCAGTCACCTGTAAATCTCCTAAGACTAAATCATCTTATATTCAGAAGTTGGACCAAAAACTCGGGTCAAAGATCAAAGGAAAACTACAGATACGGATATAAATACGTCCCCGCACAAAGATCATAAAACAAGCACGATTTAGTATTGCGGAAATTTGTCCAGCTTTTCTCTGGCACCTGGGTTCCCCTCCGAGCCACCCGGGGGCAGCAAAGTGCATGCCGGACGAGAGCCTGTGCTCAGTGGTTCCTCCCAGAATCCTCCGAGGCAGAGGAGGGGGCGGAGGGATTTAAAAGAGGGTGCGGACGTCCGTTTCTTTCCCGGAGGGAGAGCGGCCTGGGGCGCGGGTGGGTTGTGTTGTGCAGCGATTCTGCTTGGAAGGCGCGTGTGGGCTGAGTTGAGTGGACGCGCGAATGTGTGAGTGTGCGCATGGGGCGTGCAAGGCGAGTGCGTGTGCCCGTCCCTGAGCCCCTCCCACCGCCTACACCTTGATCTTATTTGATCGGGTTGTGACCCTAGCCCCGCCGGGCCGACCCGAGATGAAAAGTTACCCTCCTGCGAAGCTCCTTCATCGGGGCGCTGTGCAGCGAGGCCCCTTGGGCGGCGGTAACGCCGCGGTCCCGGAGCCGGTCTTACGGGGCCCGGCGCTCAGAAGTGATGAATTGATCAGATAGACGAGGCCGGGCTTGTCCCGGGCCAATGATTATCGAGGCGATTCTGATCTGAGCCCGGCCCCGGAGCGCGGCTAAGCCTTAACAGTTGGCGGCGGGCCCCGGCGTTGAGGGGCGAAGGCGGGGGTGAAGGAGCCGTCGCCCGAACCGCGGGAGCAGGAAGGGCACGGAAGCCTTGTTTGCTGCTGCAGTGTTTTTCCTTAGTCTCTTCCCTTTTTTCATTTAGGTCCGACTTGTGATGGCCCTTTGTATGGTACTAACACTGGTACCCCCCTGTACAGCATCTGCTGCTAACGGTTACACGTGTGTGTGTGTGTGTGTGTATATATTCTCTTATGAATATATATATTCTCTTATGAATATATATATATATTCGTAAGAGAACTTGCAGAGTTGATAAGATTCCAGGGACCCGCCCCAGATTTACTGAATTAGAATTATTAGGGCGGTCTATGAGTCTTTTTAAAAGCATCGATGTATGGGTCACGGTAATAAATTTTTTAATAATTTAGTATCAACCTGCATGAGATGATTAGCCAGAGAGTCACCCCTCTCTGCCGCTTTCAGCCATTCTAAATAATGAGAAAAATTTGATACCGCCACTTAGCAGCAGATATTATCTGAATAGGTTGGAGTATCTCTGTGGAAGAGGGGCTGCGATAGCTTGATGGAATTTAAGGACCCTGTACCTGAGTAACAGGAAGAAACTGTTTCATCTCTGAATTATTCAACAATGCATATGCTGTCCAAACTTAGAAATGGGAATTTACCCTACAATATTCTGAAACATCTGCAATTTCTTGCCCAATCTAACAGCAGTTTCCCCTGAGTGACTTATAATTTTAGAAACCACATTAATGTATATTTTTAGGTACCTTCAAGCCCAAGCACCAGGTTGTTGAACCACATTTATAAGAATCAAGTGCTGTATTTCACAGCACAAACTGACAAAAGGGAATGGACTCCCAGGCAAGAAGACAGCAGAATTAGAGAATGAACAGTGGCAAGGAGCCAGGTCCAGGAAGATGGAACCCTTATGGAAAAGTAGAGCCCAGCAGATGACTAAATCCAGAAGATCTGAAATACGTTAAGTGTGATCTCAGCATAGACGTTAACGCTAGAGTTACCAGAATTATGGTGTGGTAAGCTCATTAAGAGAATGAGCTACGTCCACTCTTGTTTCCCCAACACTTAGCTCAGTGGCTGACATACAAGTTTGCAAGAAATGTTGAATGGATATTTGTATGTTTGGAATGAGTCCAGTTTGCAAAATAGGAATACCTGCCCCTGCCAAACACAGTACTGTTTTTTTTTTTTTTAAGTAGGCTCCACACCCAGCCCAATGTGGGGCCTGAACTCATGACCCAAGACCTAAGACCTGAGCTGAGACCAAGAGTCAAGACGGTTAACCAACTGAGCCACAAAGGTGCCCCATGTGCTGTTTTGTTCTAAACCCTTAGCTTTTCAGCAAGATGACTTTCCAAATTGCAAATATGTCCAACAGGACTAGTTTCTAGAAGTTGGGAAACTTCCATCCCACATTTTAAGAGCAGTCAAGTGGCAACTCTTAGTCCATGGGTAACACACTTGA